TATTCACCATCATTTTAATTTGGCAAATATTGATTATGTTTTTGCTCTCCATAGGTACTTAATGGCAATTCCTTCCCTTTGTCCTAATGGCCTAATTGTGTACTGGTTATGGATGATTTGTTATATGGAAAATACCACTAACCAATTACTCAACATAAAAAAATAGCTGCATTTTTGTTAGCGTTCCTTTCTTTAGAGAGGCCTTCATACCTGGCATGGAATATTTATAATTACCCATATTTTGATCAGTGTTAAACTTGTCAAGATTATAATTATAAAACCCAATTTTCCTTAAGCCTTTAAGCTCAACTTAGAGATCTTTATAAGGAATTTTTATAAGAAATAAAATTTATTTTTTCTTCACCATTCAGTTAACTCATAAATTTGATAGCTTAATTTCTCCTAAACTGTAACCATTATTTACATATTTGATTAATCAAAATCTTTAAACATTTGAAATGCCATTAAAAATGTAACCGATTTTCTAAATCACTTTAAAACAGTGGCTTAAAGCTGGGCATGGTGGCTCACACCTGTAATCCTAGCACTTTGGGAGGCTGAAGTTGAATTGCTTGAGCCCAGGAGTTTGAGACCAGCCTGGGCAAGATGTTGAGACCCTGTCTCTACACATAAAAAATTAAAAAATTAACTGGGCTTGGTGGTGGGCAGCTGTAGTCTTAGCTACTTGGGAGGCTGAGGCAGGACTGCTTGAGATCAGGAGTTGGAGGCTGCAGTGAGCTCTGATCACACTACTGCAATCTGGCCTGGGTGACAGAGCGAGACCCTGTCTCAAAAAAAAAAAAAGGATGGCTTAATATTGTAATGAACATAGTCTTAAAGATGTATTTCAGACTTGCAAATTAAGCAGACCAAATAGGGGAGGTATCACACATCTTAAAAAATGGTATGCCCAAAGCAGCCCAGTGACTACAGATCGTTCTTTCCCCTTTGGAAACACAGTTGATAGAAAAGGAAATTGCTTTTTTGTGTCATCTAATCGAGAAACTAAATGACCATGTAGGGGACTCACCCAGGGCCCCTGGTATAAAAAAGTTTGAGGCTCGTGGGGGCCTGGAGCTTGGCTGTGCTTTCCAGGTCAGACAGCAGCGGCCCGGGCAGGCTCCTTCTCATGGTCAGGTGCTGTCATGAGAGCCACGAGGCTCCTCAGCAGCTTCCTTCAGTGGGGGTGTAATTAATCCCATTAATTTTCCTGTCTTACACCCTAGTGCCTTTCCCCATGATAACTGGAAGGCCTTTTAGGACCTCCAAGTTTCATTCACCTTTGGTGTGATTGGGATGCTGCTTCCTAAGTGGAGGCCCTGCTGTGAACGTGACGTCGATTCCTTTGCTCAGTCAATGGCTGTGTCTTCCTTCTTGTTTCTTCTTAGGACATCATGTTTCATCACTTTTCCTATCATGTGGTCTTTGTTTACATTCATGAAAATGTAAAAATCTTTAGTAAATGCTTTTTTTCCACCTCAACAGGCATCTTCTTCTGAAGACATGGGCAGGTGGATTGGGATTTTACTTGCAGAGACGGGGTCGTCCACAGACCCGGGAGCTCTGCACTATGACTACATTGATGTGGAAATGTCTGCAAATGTCATCCAGACAGCCAAACAGACCTTCTGGTAAGATCCACCGCCACGTGAAATGGCACTGCAGTTCAATAACGAGCTTTTCCCTAATTGCCTAACTTAGTTTTTGTGTGAGGATATAGTCTCAGAAGGAAAACTAAAGACTTTCCCTTTTGCATTGTCTTAATTCAAATTTCACAGAAATGTTTTTGTCATGTCAACTCACTGGATTTCCTATTTGAGCAGTGTGTGGCAAACTTGCATGAAGGACTAGATAGCAAACGTTTTTGGTTTTGTGGGCCAGACATTTCCTGTTAATGACCACTCAGCTCCCTTTGCAGCCAGACACTCTCCATAAACAATGGGCGTCTCTGCGTTCCAATAAAACTTTATTTACAAAAACAGGCAGTGGCCTGGATTTGGCCGGTGGTTTGCTGACCCCTGTGTTAGAGGAACAGTTCTATGAAGGAGAAATGATTCTACATATTGCTGTAATGAGGACTGAGTTTTCAAAGCTATCAGTCAAGTACTTTGTAAATTTAAATTTTGATGTTTATACAATGCTGCAATAATGTATAAATGAACTGTGAATATTTCTTTAACATAATGATGGCAGAGAGATTTATAGCAGCAGTTCTTGGTATGGTCTCCAGACCCCCTGGGGATATTCAAAACCCTTTCTGGCAGTCTACAGGACTAAATTATTTTCGTAATAATACTAAGACATTATTTTCCTTTTCTACTGTTTGGAAATTTGCATTAGTGATAATTGGCTGGCACCTTAGCACAAATAGTGGCACTTCACTGTATTAGTAATCATTGTCACCGCCACACGCTTGCAACAGTAAAAGAAAGTGCTGATTTCACTTAAGTTGTCCTTGAGGAAGCAGTAAAAGTTACGACTTTTTCTGTAAAGGACTGGATAGTAGATATCTGCATGAAGTCTCTGCAGTCCATGTGTTTTTCCTGTTCTGTGTGGCGTGATGGGAGGCCACAGCGAGCACGCTGGAGTGCACCGTGACAGTGGTCCTAGTGAAGAACAGCTCTCAGACCAGTGAGTTGCTCATAGAACTGGCTGCATTATTTTTTTTATTTTATTTTTACTTGAAAAAGCAACTGGCAAACTGTGGTTATTCGCATGTTGGCATTTGCAGATGTTTTCTTGAACATGAGCTGGCTATCCCCATCATCTCTAGGCAAACACTTGGCAGTATTTGCTGCTTGTGATCCATGGAAGCTTTCCGGAGAAGTTAGAATTCTGGAAAATTTGCATCTGCCACAGTGAGCCTGCCAGCTTCTCAGCACCTGCAGACGCCTGCTGAGATCTGCAGTCATATCAGTGAGCAGGTTTTTGATGTATAATGAAGGGTGTTCGCATTTGAAAGAGCTGCAGAAGTCATGCTTGGGAAAAGGGCTATTCCTAGTGCAAGATAAACTACTGAATTTTAATGTAAGTTGATCTGATTTCTGACTCCACATTGCAGTTAGCAGTAAGAACCACCACTTGCTGAGTTTTGGTGTAGTACCAAAGAAGTGTATCGCCAGCTCTTGGAAAAAGCAGTTAAAATGTGCCCCACTTTTCCAGCTTACGTTTGTTTGAGGCTGGATTTTCTTCACATACGTCATCCAAAAGAGCATTTTGTGACAGATTGAATGCAAGAAGCAGGCGTGAGAATCCAGCTACCTTCTACTAAGTCGGACATTAACTGAGTTTACAGGCATGTGAACAATGCCACTTTTTTGTTGGTTATTGGGGTGTTGTTGTTGTTGTTGTTGTATTTTTGATTAAGGGTCTTGCTCTATTGCCCAGGCTGGAGTGCAGTGGCACAATTATGACTCATTGCAGCCTCAACCTCCTGGGCTCAAGGGATCCTCCCATCTCAGCCTCCCAAAGCAGCTGGGACTACAGGCATGTGCTACCGTGCCTGGCTAATTTTTTTATTTTATTTTTTTAGAAACAGGGTCTTATTATGTTGCCCAGGCTGGTTTCAAATTCCTGAGCTCAAGCGATCTTCCCACCTTGGCTTCCCAAAGTGCTAGGATTACAGGCATGACCCATGATGCCACTTTTAAGTGAATAACAATGAATATATTTCTCAGGTTTAATTTCAGATACAGCAGGTAGTAGGTAGAATATCTTGGCTTTGGGTCCTGCTGTGGTATTTACTAATTAGAAAAATCTGGAAAAGTCATTCATTACCTGTTAGCGCCTCTGCTGCCTTCTGGAGAGAGTAGAGAGGGTGGGCAAGATCATCTCTGAAGCTTCCAGCTCTGGCGTCTTTGACCCCTTGGCCCTGCATCTGTGTCTCTCATCCTTAGAGAGTCTGGACTGGGGTGAGGGAAGTGAATGAAAACAAAGCTGGTCGTGAATTCCATCATCAGCGAGTGAGGATAAGCATCAGACAGCTGCTGGCAGACCTGCCGGTGCTGAGATGACGCGCCCTTTCCAGTGTGAACATGGGCTGGAATGCCCGGCCGTTGTTCGCCTGTTTAATATGACCACCACCGCTAGTTTTTCCGCACAAGTGGCATTTATGGGGAATTGGAGCAGTCTTCCTTTGTATCTTGAATGGTGAATGGACATTGATTTAACGCTTAGCTCGGACTTTGTGGGCCTAAGAAATAGTTCTCAAAGTGAAGATAACTTGGCCCATTTTAGGACTGAGGCCACATGTTACACCCAGCCAAGGTCGGTAGCCTTGACAGGTGGAATTGGTCTTGCCCAGATTGTCCATAAAATCCCCAGTAGCACTGGAGGTTTTCTATAGGACGGACTGTTCTCTCCACTGTCCTTTTGTGCAGAAATCAGGATAGATGTAGTCTAGTACTTACTGTTCCATTTATACTCATTATTGTTTAATTACATGCTTTCTAATCAGCAAAACATAGGTAAGTTATGATGATTCTCCTATTTATTAAGCACCATGCAGTAAATAAAGCACATCATAAAGTGTTTTTAAAGAGATAGGATATCCGTAAATCTAGTTTTGTAAAATCTGTCCAACCAGACTGACTTATAAAAGTGGATATGGATGTTAACTATGTTTATTGGGAAGATACTAAATTTCCATAAAAACCTATCCTACGTCCACATGTAATTTTAAGTATAATCAGCAAAGCGCTAAGCACATGTCAGAGAAACCCTGAAATAAAATAGTTGCCCTAGAATACAACTTGGCTTTTACTTTATAAATGAGTAGAGTATTAATCTAAACCAAATGTGGCAAGGTCACATTTTTGAGAAAGGAATGTAGATCATAATACTAAAAATATTTATTAAAAATATGCATGTAATGAATTTATGGCTACAGGAATCTTTTCAATATAGTACCTGATTCAAATCTTTATAGGAGATGTCAGCCATAAAGTTTATTTGCACGTTTTCTAGCCAGGCATTCCTGTAAAACTTAAGAGATGAGATGTGACAAGGAAACAGTGTCCAAAACATGGTCGCCTGCCAGTGCGATCAGTATTCCAAGATGAAATTTTTGGCTTTTATAGAAACTGGCAGCCAGTTAATGAATCTTTTCAAGGTTCTTTGGAGAATCCTCTTTGCATTGTACATGACTAAGGATGAAACAGCAGTAATATATTTAGAAAAGAGGAGAGTAAAAGATAATCACGGAGAGCGTCTCAGGAAACGTAGTAGTTTAGGAACTTTCATAATGGGAAACAATTGAGACATATGTTCCTGAAAGCCTGTTTTGAAATGAGACACATAGATGTATAATACGAGGAAAATACTCCACAGCTTCCCGAAACTCTCTCGTCGTCCCTCTGAGGAGTCCTTCAGGAAGCTGTGGTGAGGATGAAGAGCATCGAAAGCAGGGCTGGCGTGGCGAGGGTGGCGAGGGGATAGATGCGTGGATGGGCGGCGGTCCTCTTGGCCACCCTCTCCTCTGAGTCCCGGGGGGTTATTCAGAAAGAGCTCCCTTGACTGTCTCCTGGTTTTGGTGTAACAAGTGGCCCGTGGCCTCTTACTTCATATCCACGTCTGCCTTTGGCTACAAATCCTGTTGTGGAAAGACACCAAGTGGAAGACAGAGGCCTTGTGTTTAGTTGTGACCCCACACCCTGCCCTCTTGAGGGCCAGGGAGAGTTGTCCTCGCTGAAGACAACTCTCTCTGTAGGGTGAGGGGTGACTAGCTGCTGGCTGAGGCCTCCTCCACCTGGGACATTCCATGTGCCTGTGACCCCTCATCACTGTGCTCCCAAGTCCTGCCAGTGAGCCTGTCAGAGACATCCTGCAGTGGCTCTTCCCAGCACAGAGGCAGGAGTGTAGCCACCCAGGGCCTCTGTTCTGACCCCACCCTATGTCCCTGCTGCAGCAGGGCGAGTGCAGGCCGCACGCTCGAAACCGAAGATGCCGGGGAAGGAGAAAGACTCAGTATGGCCAGGGCACAGGGGAGGGGGTGGTCCCTGTGGCCGGGCATCATTCATCCATCCATTTACTGCCTCTCACTGACAAAAAGCATACATAGCACTGTTTCCCCAAAGCCCTCCAAAGAGGCATTTAATTAGAAAACCTTAAATATGTATTTTTAAAAATGAAAATCGATTACTGCAGAACTCTTAAATGTTCAAGTTTTGCTGTGCCTTTCCTTCTTATATGTTCTCTTCTTAGTCATTGTCTTTTCCTACATATACTTTTATGTATTTTAAGTTACATTCTTATAAGCAAAGGAAAAAGTTTATAAATTACAATTGAAAAGAATGTGTCCAGGCAGCGAGCCGTGCATGGCGTCCCTCCCCAGCAGGGGGCGCACACGCGCTGTGTGCGGAGTCTTTTCCGCGGCCCATGCGGCTGAAGTCCAGCCCAGAACCCCAAGCCCGGGTTCTCCCGCGGCTACGCTGCCAGAGGTACTCCAAAGAGGGAGACTTCACTCCTCTGTGTTTACGCTGTGTTTTCTTGAGCTGGTGACCATAGAAACGCAGCATTCTCTGAAATACCCCCACTAGCAGGGAATGCTGTCAGGGGGGTCTCTTCCCTGGGTGTTTCCATTGTTAGTCCTGATGCATGGCTTCGGAAGCTGCCGAGCCTCTAGGCACCTGCACCTGTGGACCCCAGCGTGTGCTGGTGTGGTCCTCACACTTCTGAGGCTGACCTTCCAGTGGGGAGAGCAGGCAGGACACGGATGCGGGATGGTGGCCCCGGACCCGGAGGGGAGGGAGGGGTGCTATGGGGCTGCCAGGGCGGGCACCCTGGGACAGCACCCATGCGGAGACCCGGATACGAAGGGTGTCTGGAGAGAAGTTTGGCAGGCAGAGGGACTGGGGGAGCAGAGAGAGCCAGAGGAGCCCCAGAATACCAAGGAGACTGACCCAGCGCTGGAAGCCACAGTGCAAGGACTGAGCAGAGACCTAGTCCCTGGGAGCCCTGTGGCCCCGGGCAGCACCTTGCAACTTCAGAAGTACCTGGGGGTGTTGGGCGGAGGCTGGCGTGGCCGGCCTGCCCTCCTTAAAGGGGAGTGAGCAGTTTTCTTACTGCAGCCTCCACAGTGTTGGGTCTCGCCTTTAGCCACTAAATGGGCAGGTCTTTCCCATGCCAAGCAATTCTCTAGATTTCTGCAGGCACCAGTGGGGTGTCCTAATACTTGAACTCAACCCTCAGTGGTCTTCCATAAGGCAGCCTCAGGTCCCCCAGTGAAGGGCCCAGCCCACAGAGCCGACTCCACTTCAGATGCCAGCCCCAGGTCCAGGTTGTCACCCGTGCTTCTGACCAACGGGATGTGAGTTGGAGGTTCCCACGACCCTCCCCAAGAGTTCAGTCATTGCCAGATGCTCACAGAACTCAGGAAGAGCTTGCTTACCGGATTACTAGTGAAAGGATACAGCTCAGAAGCAGTGAAGGAAGAGGTGCACCGGGCAAGGCGCATGGAGCGCAGCGCTCCTGTGCCCTCGCTGGGTGCACCACGCTTCTGACACCGCCACACGCTCACAGCTCAGAAGCTCTGGGAACCTTGTCCTTCTGGGTTTTTATGGAAAGTTCAGGCCCTAATCACGGGGTTGGTTTCCCTGGCAACCAGCCCTCATTGTATACTTCATGTGGGAAATTCCAAGAGTTTTAGGAGCCCTGACCAGGAACTTGGAACAAAGATCACACCTTCTAAAGGATTTCCCTGGCCACTGTCAGCGGGTCTCAGAAGTTGAGGGAATTTCAGGGAAGAGGAGAAAATGTGTTGTGTGGGGTGGCAGTGGAGCCGAATGAGTCCTAAGAACTCCATCAACATTTGTTGAATAATTGTTCTAGAGAGCTTATAGAACAGGGGTCCACAAACCTTTTCCAAAAAAGGCTGAACAGTAACTTTCAGCTTTTTTTTTTTTTTGAGACGAAGTTTCGCTCGTATTGCCCAGGCTGGAGTGCAATGGCGTGATCTTGGCTCACCACAACCTCCACCTCCCGGGTTCAAGCGATTCCCCTGCCTCAGCCACCCGAGTAGCTGGGATTACAGGCATGTGCCACCATGCCTAGCTGATTTTATATTTTTTGTAGAGATGGGGTTTCTCCATGTTGGTCAGGCTGGTCTTGAACTCCTCACCTCAGGTGATCTGCCCACTTCAGCCTCCCAAAGTGCTGGGATTATAGGTGTGAGTCACTGTGCTGCCTGGCCTAACTTTTAGCTTTGCAGCCCATGTTACCCTTTTGGAAGTAACACACTTATGAAAGAAGCATGTGTTCCAATAAAACTTTACTACCAACACAGGCTGTGAGAGGAGCTGGCCACGGTGACAGACAGATGATGAGCGAAATGCTTGCCATTTCTGAATGCCTGTTACTTGCAGGCTTTGCCGCGTGTACCTAGCGTGGGTCATCGGCGGCCTGTGTCGCCCTTCTGCAGAGTATGTGCCCTCCTAATCTCATAGGACAGTCCCTCCAACACATCCTCTCATTTCCTCTGAGGCTCTGTCTCTCATTTCTTCTCTGCCCCGTGACTGCTGACATAGCGTTGGACATAGAGTCAGAACGCAATGAGGACCTGACTGATTGGAGTAAAAGGTGGTCAGGTTATGGATTTTAACGCATTTCCTTTCTTTCAGTTTCATGAACAGGCGTGTTCTGTCTGCTAACCCGTACCTAGGGGGCACGTCCAACGGCTATGCCCACCCCAGTGGGACGGCGCTTCATTACGACGACGTCCCGTGCATCAACGGCGCGGTGAGTACCCTTCTGCTGGAGTCATGGTTTTGTTAGAAGTGAGGCTGTGAAAATTCTGTGCCTTAGTTCCCCTGGTTTCAGTTTATGAGGTCCGCTTTTTAATGCTCTGAGGCTAACAGGAGGCTCCATGTCACCTCTCTGCCCCTGGCTGCTGACGTGCTGCTCATCTGAAGCTGCATTTGAACAAGTGGATCGTTTGAGACTAGTAGACAACTTTGTCGTTTAATGTCACTGTCATTTTTCTGTTGGTGTTGACGTAGTGTCCCAATCTGTGGCCCAGGCTGGAGTGCAGTGGTGCGGTCAAGACTCACGGTAGCTCAACCTCCCCAGCCCAATGGATCCTCCCGCCCTGGCCTCCCAAGTAGCTGGGGCATAGGTACACACTTCCACACCGCACGCATTTGTTTATTTTTACTAGTGATGGGATCGCCCTATATTGGACAGGCCAGTCTTGAACTCCTGGGCTCAAGTGATTCTCTCACCTCAGACTTTCAATGTGTTAGGATTACCAAAGTGAGCCACTGTGCCCGGCCTAATGTCACTCCCATTAATTGAATGTGCCAGCCCACTAAAATACTGACTAAAGAATAGCATATTAGAGTGATACTTGGATAACTTGTTAAATCAAGCATAGTTGTCAGTGAGTCGTTATTTCCCGCTAGGATTAAAATACTGAGAAATCCCCTCAGGAAGAAAATGACGCTGTAGAGGAGTGACCCCAGTACAAGCTCGGCAGCTTCCCTTGGGCGGATTTGGAGGGGCAGGCTCCAGCTCCCGTCACAGTGCCGTCTGTAGGTCCACAGCTCCATGCAGTTGGGGCTTAGGCGCGGCTTTCTCTGTTCCGCTGGTTTCCAGGGTCTGTTTGGCCTTCGGAGTGGTAAAGTTTGCCCTCGGTGTGTTGTGTGTGTGTTGTGTGGGGCGTGTCGTCAGCAGGCCTATCAACAGGTGCTTGTCTCACGGTGTGTGCATGTTGCTCATCTCACAACCGTGCACTGAGCATCCTCTCTGGTCCAGGCACGGCACCCAGCCCTGGGCATTCAGAAGTGAGGCCTTCACAGTTAGCAGATGGATGAAGGAGGCTTGTGAGAAACCCGTATGCCATGCATCTCCCAGTACTGGGTGGGTTTGAAATTGGCATCTATGTTAAGATCATTTTCAAAGGTAGACACAAAGTATATTTATTGTTATTTTTTCCAGCCTTGGAAGGTATTTCAGACTTTTTTCTTGCTGTTTTCCTTCTGCAGTCGTTTCTCCAATATTCTGGTGAATGTCCTCAGTCAGCCCCGGCATTGTAAATTATGTAGCTGCCCACAGCAGGAACCAGGAGACAATGGCCTCTTTGAGGGAGGAGCGGGACCAAGGACCCGCAGTGCTCAGGAGCGTAAACAGACTGAAGGCTGTTTATGCTGGGGTCAGAAGTGGCGGGTCCATTCCTCAAGAGCCATGATGGATGCAGGGTGTCCATGGGGCCCAGCCACCTTCCCACTGATCGCCGCCTCCTGCCCCTCTGTACCTGCCGTCCTAGGTGGAGAGGTTTCAGGGCCCGTCGGTCTCCTCCTTCCCCTCAGCCAGTCCTCCCTGGAGTGTCTCTGGGTGCCCACAGTCACCAAGGCGCTCCACTCCAGCAGAGGGGGCTTGTGCAAGTTCTTCCTGCTAAGACGGACCCACGGCGGCCTGGGGAGCAGGCTCTCAGGCTGATTTCTGCCCTGGATTCCGGCCCCTGAGCCGTTTTCTAGGTGGGACCCGCTCTTCTGCCTCCATTTGCTCTGTGTCGCCCCAGTGTCTCTTGACGGCACACGTTTATCCCTGGGCTTAGACGGCGGTTACCATGCTCATCTGCATCCTGAGAACCATCCACTTCCCTTAGCCTGTGTCTAGCCCGTCCCACCCAAAGACCCTTTCATACCTTTTCCTTCAAGGTGTTTCTCCACTTGCACCCCTTACACACGAACCTGTGACTGAGCTGGATGCCGTTGAGACCCTGTGGAGCCACACATGGGATCATCCGGTTCCACCCAGCCTGCTTCATTCAGGCTTTCATGACACTGTACAGGCCACCCACAGGAGTGAGTGTTCTTTAGGTTATTGGCAGCTTAATCTGTAGTAGAAACAAAGGTCTGCCATTCCCTGTTTGTGTGTGTGTATCGCTGGACACACTGTACATGTATGTGGCTTCCTTCCTCTGCTCGGCCCCTTCCTGAAACTTACTGTGTGTTCGGCTGTTACCAGCTCATCTCTTTTTGGAAGGCCTCATTTTTAGGTTTTTAAAGTTCATATTTATAGCCCGGTGCAGTGGCTCACGCCTGTGATCCCAGCACTTTGGGAGGCAGAGGTGGGCGGATCACTTGAGGCCAGGAGTTTGAGACCAACATGGCAAAACCTCACCTCTAAAAATATAAGAATTAGCGGGCTTGGTGGTGGGCATCTGTAATCCTAGATACTCAGGAGGCTGAGGCAGGGGAATCACTTGAGCCTGGGAGGTGGAAGGTGCAGTGAGCCGAGATTGTACCACTGCACTCCAGCCTGGGCAACAGAGCAAGACTCCATCTCAAAAAATGTTCATATTTATGACCTACTATCTGGCACCATAGCACTGTTTCAGCTTAAGTAATGTTTACTCATTCACCGTTCCCCGATGCTTAGACTAAGATGAAAGTATGCACACTCACACTTTAAACTAGAAACTTCTGTGAGGTCCCTGTAGGTGTTTTTCTGCGTCTTCCATATGACTTAATCTTTGGTATTTTAGGAAAATGATAGTCTTGTCTAGACCGTTTTAATAACTCTGGACAAATATATGCTGGGTTGTCATTATGAAACTCTCATATCCGAGTTTATCTGCAGGGACCGTTATTTTTAGATCACAAAAATAGACACATTGAAGTGATTGCGGAGGAATACAGATGCTTCTACTGCGGAATTTTCAGTCTGTGCTATTTTTATAACAAAAGGTTGTAATTACCGTCTGGCGGGAAGGACTGTGCAGGAAGACTATAAAAACAGGGTAAAGGAACATAACAGAGGAATTAATATCGCCTTTCTTGTAACGCCAGGCAATTTATAAAGACCTTTAAAGCTGAAAAGGCCTTGGCTGTGGCCTCAGTTTTTGGGTTGAGTTAATGCTTTAACGTCTGTGTTCTCAGATTCCTCAGTCCCGTGAAGTGGCGTGTACCTATTTTAGTCCTTTGTTAGAGATTTTCTGCTAAAAGAATACCATTATATCAATTAGATTTGGAAGCATCTAATGTTCTATGAGAATTCGATGTCTCCTTTCACAGACTGTTTTGGCTGTGGCACTTCCTTCAGGTATACAGAGCAGGGCACAGAGGGGTGGGTGTTGACAGATCCCATAGGACTTAGGTCACCGACTCCAGCACAGGGACTTGGAGGAGCCCGCATGTGGTCTGCTGTCCCCAGAAGGAGCCCAAGGCTTAGAGGCAGCACCGTGGGGGATGAGCGCGGCCCCTCCCTCCGCTCTGCCACTCACCGGCTCCAGGCTTCCATTTTTCTTCCACCTCTGCTTCCATTTTCCCGCTTCCAGGGCAAGGGCAGTGCGGTGAAAAGCATCGGGTGCTCTGCTTGGACCTCAGTGTCTTCGCGCACAGCAGAGCACCAAGCCCCTGAGCCCATGCTCCCTTCCGACCTTCACATTCACATCCTGCGCTAGGCACTTCTCTAAAGAAGGAAATACCAGATAACATTTCTTTTTCTTCTTTAAAAGACAGGACCGAACAAAAACTTCACATTCCCATTCTGGGAATGGTTTAAGGCAACAAAAATTTCCATGAGGCTTCAGAAGTCAAGTTCTTTTGAATCAGTCTGCATGCTTGTGTTGGGTGTGTGTATGTGTGTGTGTCGGGGGGTGCGTGCCTTATTGATAACAGCTGCAGTCTGTGCAGAAGGGTGTTGGGATGCTGACGCCATGCTAAGTGCCGTGCTATTCATAAATGACATCTCGCTGTGCCGAAAGCTGCGGTTTTCTGTGTCCAAGTCACTAACCACAAAGCTGTGTGTGTTGCAGTGGGAACCGGAAGATGGCTTTCCTGCTTCCTGCAGCAGAGGCTTGGGAGAAGAGGTGCTTTATGATAACGCAGGCCTGTACGATAACTTGCCGTCTCCGAAAATCTTTGCCCGCTACTCTCCTGCTGACAGAAAGGCCTCTAGGCTGTCTGCCGACAAGCTGTCCTCTAACCATTACAAATACCCTGCCTCCGCTCCGTCTCTCACTAATACCTCTTCTGTGGGGAGGGCGTCTCTCGGGCTCAACTCACAGGTACAGCATCTTCTTCTGTAAGATTCCAGAGCCACCTTTAAGTCACATTGCTCCAACAGTTTTGCAACTTGTGGTAAATGGGACTCAGCAAAGGCAAAGCGTAATTTTTTTTCCCTCAACTAGAATATAATTTGCAACCTGACTACCACGGAACCGATGAGATATTTCTGAAGAGCTCATAGTTTGTCTAAGCGCTGTTTCTCTGCCCATATCTGACTTTCCTTCTGTTCTTGGAAAATTCCCCAGTGAATTTTGTGAATTATGTCAACTAAAGGCAGGGAATTTAAAAGAAACGGGTAATAAAACTTTCCAGAAGATTGTTGAACTGCAAGGTTCTTTAATATGTTTCCATTACACATAATGAGGAAGGGTTGACTCCATGTAGTCATTGCTTTTGATCTTTAAACAGGAAATAGGATTATTCAGGGTACGGTAGGAGTTTTCTATGGTAAGTCTAGAAGTATACTCTTAAAAACTAGACGATGATAAGAAGGACATTTGATGACCACTGAACAATAATAACCTTGATTTTGAACTGTGGTCCATTGCACACCCTGTGTTTACAGCAAACAGTAACATTTCAGAGTAATCTTGTGTGGTTAGGCCTTTTTTGTTTTGTTTTGTTTTAAAGAGATGACGTCTCACTATGTTGCCCAGGCAGGACTTGAATTCCTGGGCTCAAGTGATTCTCCTGCCTTGGCCTCCCAAGTAGCTGGGACAACAGACTCATGCCACCATGCCCGGCTTATCATGCATATTTAACCTAAGAATTTGTTATGCTTTGCCTAAAGACTTCAGCCAATATATGTAGGAATATGAACATATAGCAAATGGGCATGTTTTAAATATGTGTATTTTTCTCCATTCTTTGGATAATCTTAAGAAAATAATGAACCACATAAAATTGCAGAATTCTAGATAGTAATGACTTAGAGCACTAGCTCCCTATAGGTCGGCTTCATCAGAAACCAAGTGCACAGGTGTGTGTCAGTTTTCGATTCTGATTGACGGTTGTTCAGATCCTACCCCTGGAGATTCCCGTTAGGTGTGTCTGAGGGGCCCAGAGCTAAGCAAAGCCGGGCCCAGGGGCTTGGGAGGCCTCAGGGCTTCTTACAAGAACTTACGCCAAAAAGTGGGCAGGTTATGTGTTGCATTTACTAAGTAAATGTGTTTCTGTGTTTCTACCTGTCTTTTTATTGGCATTAGAGCTGCCTTAGGTAAAATCCTGCAGCGCAGCTTTCCATCCTGCACACTTGGATTGTCCCCACACGAGTTGGGAATCATTTGGTGTATGGTTCCCGTGGGGGGGTTTGTTACTTTTGTTCCCTTTTGTTTTGCTTTTGTTGAAGTAGGAAACACTTTTGCAGGTTAAATTGCATGGCCTCTGTGTTTCCTGTCCTCCTTTGGTCATTTTAATGGGGACCTATTGTTTAAGCACTTACACGGCCCCTCTCCTATACTGCAGGTCATGTGATCCTTTCAGGAACCCTCTGGAGAGGGGTCGCTACCTTTACCTTTTTAAACAACCAAGTGGGGGCTCAGAAAGTTTAAATAACTTGCTTGATGGCTCCTAAATGATGGAGCCAGATGTCTGTGCCTCCCAAAAGTTGAGGCCTGCCACAGTAGGCAACGTAGTATCATGGAAAAAGCATGGGCATGGATGCTGGAGTGAGTCTTTGCCATCACGCTGAAAAATCACACAACTAAGCTGTGTGGAAGGTCACGCCAGCAAAATGCAGAACTCGCTGTCCTGTGGCAGTCCCCAGAGTAGAGCGCTGTCTCACTGTTTCAGAAGCCTGCAGTCCGTGCGAGCTCAGTGTCCGTGTGATTGCTGTGTGTTACGCTTCCCTTGCCCGTTAGGGTGTCACCCGTTGTAAAGGCGCTTGCCGCAGCACAGCTCTGACGCAGGGTCCTGCTCCTCTCCTGAGGGCATCCCACTGAAATAAAAGCCGTTTAGCATCGGAAACAAACTGCTCACCTCAGCCCGCACCAGCTTGGGTAGTGTTTGTGACTTGCCAGTAGAAAGGCGTCCCTTCTGCAGCGTTCCAGTGGAACACATCCTACGGACCCCACTGGCTTTGGCCTCGGCCACACCTCCTCAGCCATTCCCCATGATCCCGGCAGCCCGGTGTTTGGAAGCCATCTTGGCTTTCTTTCACCTTTATCTTCTTCTCCGTCTATGCTAGTTTCTGTAATAGTTAGAGTCAGAGACTGAAAGAAATGACTGCAGGAAAAAAAGACCCAAGATTTTTTCGACTGTGTGTTTATTTTTTATGTTCTTATATGTTCATTTCAACAGCTCAAGGGTAAAAAGCCTCCAGTGGCATCTAACGGAGTCACAGGAAAAGGGAAGACTCTGAGCAGTCAGCCAAAAAAAGTGGATCCCGTGGCTGGCGTGAAAAGGACGGCTTCAAGTAAGTGTGCCATCGGGTGTCTTGCCTTCCGGCTGCAAGTGCACTGGGTCGAGCTGGGCCTGTCTGAGCCTGCCCACCAGTAAGTGCCAGCTTGGGGGCAGCTGGAGAAGTGGAGCTGTGGGCACCACCATCCTTCCTCATCGACCCCAGTGGCAGTTTCCACCTGGCCTTTCTGACTGTGCTTGTAAATGGAAGCCCAGAACTGGTTTGCCACCTGTGGGATTGACTCAGCATTTTAAAATGGGAGGCAGTTGTGAGTGCAGGTTGCTTGCAGCTCCGGGTGGCCCAGGATGCTGGGCCAGGAGACCTTGGCTCACGTCCCTGATCTGTGGTTGACAAGCCATGCAAACTCTAAACTGAGCCTCTTTATCTGCCAGGCGTAGACAGATGCTCCTGTGGTTGGTGCAGTGGAATGACTGAGGTCATACGCGGGCCTCACAGCACTAGAGCAGGGCACTGATTAGTCCTGTGGCGCCTTGTGGTCTACGGCAAGCCATTCTTATCCCGTCCACTTTACTTCCCACAGCCACTCTGTAAGCGGAGGCATTGTCCTCTGCCCCATCATACACATGAGAAAAGAATCACCAAGAGGGTGAGCGGCTACCACAAGGCCTCACAGCTGGTAAATCACAGAGCCAGAGTGGGTGGCAGGCCTTCACATTCCACATCCAGCTGGAAATAGACTGGGCAGAGAAGCTTCAAGACACGAGAGACTCAGCCTGCCTGCACCCAGCACCCTCTCCCCTTCCCTCCAGGGATCCATGGAGGGCAATACTGTCATCCCTCAAGTGGTGTTTGCACTGGTCCTCATTATGTGGGATGTCTCATCAGGGAGCCAGCCAGGCAGCACTCTTCACTCCAGGGACTCAAAGACACAGTAAAGTAGTTGCTGTTGAGCGTCCTCGGTCCAGCAGACCCACACGTGCGGATGAGCACGTGGAAGGGCCACAGCATGGGATTCTGCAGGTTGGGGGCCCCTGAGGCCGTCTGGGCCTGTCCAGGAAGATTTCCCAGAGGAAGAAGGTGGGCGTTAGATGCAGGTGTTGAGTTTGATGTGGTTACATGCCATTGCCACTTGGGATTTATACCTGAACTTTTCAGATCTGGAGCAGTGCAACTGGTAGACCAGTCTCTGTGCCAATGAAGATGAGGCTGGCTAGCCCTGCTGGTAACCCCACACCAGCTGTAGAAGACAGAGGGTCCGATACCGACACGTGCCGACATCCATTTGCACTGTGGTTTCAGTTCTAGAGTCAGAGCATCCGCATAGGGGAATTGAGAGGCTGGCAGTGTCCTTGGCTGTGTTCATGAGCGAGCCTTGGAATCACCCAGCAGGACCAGGGTGCATCTGCTCCGAGGAAGGGTGTACATTCCTGACAGAAGCCTGCCTCCACCTCTGTTCCACCCACACACATCCTCCCCACTGCCCGGAGGAAGGGTGTACATTCCTGACGGAAGCCTGCCTCCACCTCTGTTCCACCCACACACATGCTCACCACTGCCCCGAGGAAGGGTGTACATTCCTGACGGAAGCCTGCCTCCACCTCTGTTCCACCCACACACATGCTCCTCACTGCCCCAAGGAAGAGTGTACATTCCTGACGGAAGCCTGCCTCCACCTCTGTTCCACCCACACACATGCTCCCCACTGCCCCGAGGAAGGGTGTACATTCCTGACGGAAGCCTGCCTCCACCTCTGTTCCACCCACACACATACATGTTCACCAGATGGGTTGGAACCAGTTGGGCCAATTCCTCCCGCCACCATTTGTTTAATGTACCGACTTCCTTTGACCTTATCTCTGGCACATCTTATTTCCCACTGTATCGGGTGTGGTTACTTTCACCTCTTTAATTTTGTTTCATTGGGGAGGGGTCGTGGGGAAGGAGCAGCTCACACCTGGAAAGCTTTGTTAAAGCGGAATCTGAATCCCATGGAGTCTCAGTCGCCATGGCACATCTGTCACTACCTGTGCTGACTTTATTTCCTAGATGATTTATTCCTTTATTTTATGAGACCTTCTGTAGGGAGTTTTTATTAACTTTGGTGACATCTAATGGTGACAAAAGAGAAAAATAATGGTATTCTGTGTTTTTGCTGAATCCAGCCAGTTGCATTATAGATTAGATGGGATTTATTACATGGGGACCAAAAGATTGGAAATTTATAGGTTATTGCATTACGTTCGTTTGGGGAAACAGGTTAGTTTAGAAATAAGTGTAGAGTTTGGACTTGGCCTTGTTTGCAAAATATATTACTACCTCAGCTCCTTTTGTTTCAGATTGTTGAATGGTTAGCCTGTCTTCAGGCTGCCAACCCTTTTGCTGTCCTTCTGTGTGTTTCTTTTGGGTAGGGGAAAATTGACAGGGGTGATCACTTTTTATGTCTTCATAAATGCAGTATTTCATTGAAATCATGATGGCTCACATTGCAAGTACTGGCAAATCCAGCATTTATTGGAAATCACTTATCACTGATGTGGTAAGACTTGCCCGTGAATGTCCACTACATCAGTGAATGTCTACTACATCAGTGAATGTCCACTACATCATCAGTGAATGTCCACTACCTCATCAGTGAATGTCCACTACATCAGTGAATGTCCACTGCATCAGGCATCATGTCATTTTGTTAGATTTTTTTCAGATACATGTTTCTCATTTAAAACACACACATCTCATTTAAAACGTGCGCATGTGCGCGCACGCACACACACACGCACACACATAGGGTTCCTTCTCGTGTCTGTTTTAGAGAGGGTGAGGCTGAGCTTTTCCGGAGGTTGCTTGCGGAGTCATGTAGCAAGGGAGGGTGGAGTGTGGGTTTATAGCCACCTCTGTGAGCCCAGTGTTTTTATTCTTAACCATTATGCCACCCCTGTGACTTCTACCTGAAGTAGTTTCTCGCCAAGCTAGGTGGTCAGACATGTGGAGTATGTAGTCGTGAAGGCCTAGGAGTTGTCATCAGGTGTGAGTGATTGTTAGAAGCGACTCGGAGATCACTGAGGCTTTGCCATCGGTGATCCTCCATCCAAGTTTTGTTACAACCTTCATCTCCTCCATGGATTCTTCCAAAGAGATGTTGTCCTAAGTTACTGTTACCGAAAGGCCAACATAAGAGGAGGAAGACAGCGTAGGGTTAGGTTCTGAAAGCTTTTTCACTGGCCGTGTGATGTCGCTACGTCTGTAAATGTCCCCTACAGCTAGTTTCCTCATTTATTCATTTTATGAAAGAAGCATTTATGTATTACCCATTTTTGCATTTGTTCTAAGTGCTTTATAAACATTTAATCCTCATAACCGCCCAGTGAATTACCTGCTTTTACTATCCCCATTTCACAGCTGAGGGAAACTGAGGCACAGAGGGATTTATGCCCTGTTCCAGGGCACGCAGCTGCAAGTGCAAGCTGGGACTCCTTCCTAGACGGTCAGGCTCCAGGTCCTGCCCCTGGTTGCCTCTTCATGGATTCGTTGTCAGTTACTCACTAAGCAAACACATATTCCATCACACTCCATGTCCGTGCTGGGGTGTAGCAGCAGTCGGGAGCCAGTCAGATGCCATGCCGGAAGGAACAGACACTGTGGTGTTGTGGAAGTGTTTTGAAGAATGTAGAGAGGGAAGCAAATTCAAGACATGATTTTTGATAGTAATAGACTCCTGTCTTCTCCGATTATAGAATGTTCACTTTCCATGTTGTCGCAGATTAATTATAAGTCACGTTCCTCAAAGGGAAGTGAATTAAAGAAACGTCCTAATATTCTGTTTTTGTTTTTAAAAATTTGATTCAAAGGCTGTTGAAGAATTTGAACTAGCCAACTTTTCTGCTTAGTTCAAACCACCCCTGTCTTTTTTCTTATTGAATTAGCAAAATAACTGGTTTTGTGTTTGTTCACTGAGTTGGCTGATTAAACAGGCTTTTTGAGTTACCCCATTATCTGCTTGAATAAACCTACTTTTTTTTTTTTTTTTTTGGAAATGGGGTCTCAGTGTCACCCAGGCTGGAGCACATGGCAGAATCACAGCTCACTGTAGCTTCGAACTCCCAGGCTCAAGCAATTCTCCCTTCTCAGCCTCCTGAGTAGCTGAGACTACAGGCATATGCCGTCATGCCTGGCAAACTTTTGTATTTTTTTGTAGTGACGGACCTCGCTGTGTTTCCCAGGCCAGTAAACCTAATTTTTAATTGCTGTCTTTTTTTCTTCTCAAGATGCTGCCCAGTACAAGTACGGCAAGAACCGGGTAGAAGCAGACGCCAGGCGGCTGCAGACCAAAGAAGAGGAGCTGCTGAAGAGGAAGGAAGCCTTGCGGGACAGGCTGGCCCAGCTCCGCAGAGAAAGAAAAGACCTCCGTGCCGCCATGGACGCTGGCGCCGGTAGGGAGGGTCTGGGCTCAGGTGACTGCCCCGGGCGCGTTCGTATCAGAGACTGCACGTTTCATTCTGCTCAGGACCTGACCCACACGCCGCTCACAGAGGCAGGGGAGGTGCTGGGGGACCTGCCCCACCTTCTGGCGCTGACAGCAGAGATTGTCTGGAGGATGGCGCGTCTCCACAGGGCTCGGTAGATTTGGTCACTGTGTCGGAGGGATCCACTGGATTTCTCCACAGGAGGGTAGCCCACAGTGGGGAGTCATTTTCAGAAGTCCAGGCAAGGCAAGATGGCGCTGCATGGGTAGAAGAAGCCCCTCATTTCTTGAGAAGGGACAGACGAGAGCAAGGCAGCATCTGTCTTGGAATGTATCGGGAAAGAGGCCAGGCTAGTGGAATACAGACACCAGAGAGGGACTGAGGGTGAGGGCCCATTCCCAGGAACTGAGCCTGTAGCCAGAGTGGCACCCCTGGGCCAGGCGTGTGCATTCCTGCTGGCGGGAGCTGGTGCTCAGCTCCTGACCCTGGGGCAGCACGGCTTCCATAGGCATGGCCTCCCTTCCAGCCTGGTGCTCAGACTGCGGAACGCTGGCTCCCTAGATTGAGATGTACTAGCCTGGGCTGGGACGGGGGCTTCAGATGCCGCAGAGGCCCGCGCCGTCCAGAGAAGAAGTGGCAGCTTTCCTGTGTCTGGCTGTGCAGGGAGGAGCTGATGCACACCCTGCCAGCAATTAGCAGCTCCAGCCTTCCTGGACTTTGTGCCTCAGTGATTTGATGAAGGGAAATACTTTTGGAGTTTAGAAGGGGGAAGGCAGGTGTCGGCAGGGCAGGTCAGGCTGACCCTGCAGGAGGAGCCAGGATGTGGCCTGCAGCCTGAGACTGACCCAGGAGGAGGCTAGGCCAGAGAATGGGGCGGGGCGTTGAGTTTAACAAGACAGAAGTAGCATTTCTCCCTTGTGTCCCAAGCTTGCAGGATAGTGAAGATGCAGCGGGGACTGGAGGTGCTTTTGGCTTTGAAAAAGAGAACCTCGCCTGCTGGCCAGCACTGGCCCAGGCCCTGGGTACCAGCCTGTTCACCCCTGAGATTGGTGTTCTCATCTGTCCAGTGGGCCCATCTTAGGTCACTGCAGCAAACCTCGAATAAATAAAGTGAACATTCCTTAAAGAAAGGTATGCCGTATCCGGTAGAGATGCCAGCTGTGCTACTGTTCATTGCCACAGGGGCATAAGCTGGCGGAAGGATTGGCAGAGTATCAGGGAAGGACAGTGTTCACACTGCCAGGCAGTGGCACCTTCGGGAGCTGTGGAGTTCAGGGGCCACGTTTTAGAATGAGTACCCTGGAGTACATTGAGGCCTAGAGCCAGGAGCTGCCGGCCTTGGTGAGAATGAGCATCTCCTGCTTCCTGGGAGGCCAGCTGCAGCAAAGGGTGGTGGTCGGGGAAGGACTCTGGTCCCTTAGAGAACTACTGAATTTAAGTTTTGCAACAAGGACCTAAATCAGGGGAGCTCAACCTAAACGTTTTATGGAGGTTCTTTTCGGGGACCAGGTGCCTTTTCTGTTGTTTGGAGAGTCTCTGTCTGCTGCAGGAGTAACGGCGTTTCTGGGGATTCCAGGCAGGAAGCCGCAGGCGGTCCTGGAGGAGAAGCTGAAGCAGCTGGAGGAGGAGTGCCGGCAGAAGGAGGCAGAGCGCGTCAGCCTGGAGCTGGAGCTGACGGAGGTCAAGGAGAGCCTGAAGAAGGCACTGGCGGGCGGGGTCACCCTGGGGCTGGCCATTGAGCCCAAGTCAGGGACATCGAGTCCACAGGTATGTGTCCTGCCAGTTCACCTCGGAGGCTGGCGCGGCCTTGTGTGACCGAGGGCCGGTGCGTCCAGAGCGGATGTGGAGGGGCTCTCGGGCATAGCTTGTTTGTGGCCCCTTAGTGTGCCCAGCAGAAGGCGGTTCACGTGTTAGCATGAGACACTTGGATCAGCTGGGCCCTGTGTTCCTGGCATGCCGCTTTCTTGTCTCTCAGTGGTGTTAAAGGCGTGGAGACACTGGGTCTGTGTCTTTCCCCTTTGCACAGTCTGTTTAGAACAGATCTGGTCCTATTTGATGCCAGTTCATTAGGTAGCTAGCGCTTATAAACCGTCTAGCATGCCTGAGAGTTAAGCCAGGGGCTGGGGAAGCTGAAAGAATGAAGTGGTCTGTGCCCTCTTAGAATCGAGCAGAACAAACGGGCGTCCTCTTCCAGCGTGAGGCACCCCGTCAGTGGTTCCTCTTCACTCATTCGGCTGAGATTGCTGAAAACTCAGATGTCCTTTCCACTTGGTCATCCTGTTGAGTCTCCTGTCTTGTGAGTTGGATGTCAGCACTTCCATTGAGCGAGGGAGGCATTGGGCCCAGAGAAATACACATGCCTGTCGAGCAGACAGAGCAGGCCGCGGAGAGGGACAGCTAGACTTCAGTGCCTGTACCAGCTGAAACCCTGCGGGTGGCCCCCCACCCACTGCACCCTGAACATTCCCACTCTAGGTATTTCTTTCCAGATGCCTGGGTGAAATGCTGAGCCTGGTTGAACCCACCACCGCCCCTCCATACGAGCCTGGGGCGGGTTTGTGGGGAAGATTTACACATTTCTGGGTTGATGGCAGCCCTGAGTTTCAGTCACCTGCTGAACCCTGCCGGGTACCCCCTGCACTGCCTGCTCCTCCTTACTGTTCCCTTCTCCTCCCAGCTCCCCCATCCCCACCCGTTTCCTGTGTCACCCCAGTGATCATCTCCAACTCAGAGGACAACCTCCCTCCCACCTGCAGAGCTGAGCAAGCAGCCAGGTCACTGATCTATCCCCAGACCACAAACCCAGCCACGCGTGCCTGGTTCCTTAAAGTGTTGAAGAGGCAGCTGTGTGGCCACACAGGCCACGGCTTGAAACCACTTGACTTCTCCAGGCCCCGAATTTTTCATCTATAAGATGAGAAAGCAGTAGTGCCCGCTGCATAGGGCTGTCCACGCAGAGGCCGTGGGCGCAACACTCCACCGAAGCGCCTGTGTTCATTCATTCACATCTTCCTGAACGCACATGCATTCATTCATTCATTCCACTCATCCAACAATGGCATGTTTATATCATTATATACAGTACTGTTATATATTATGTAAAATCATAGAGTTCATTCAGCAATTATATATTATGTGTAAAATACAATTATATATTTATACGACATACATACTATTTCATATATAAAGGTGTGTATGTGTATACACATATGCATATGCTGTGTTTCTTTTTGAACTCCCGGGCTCAAGCGATCCTCCCACCTCACCTCCTGTGTTGCTGGGGTTACAGGCAGAGGGGACCATGGCTGGCCCACATTCTGTGCTTCCTCTGTGTGCTAGAAACTATTCTAAGCCCACAGTTGTGACAAGATAGGTGAGAATCTCTGTTTCATGGAGCTTATATTCTCCTGACAGAGGCAAAGCAATAAAACATGTTGATGTCAGATGCAGACAGATCTGTGGAGCACAGTGAAGCCGGGCTGGGGACGAGGGGCGCAGGTGGAGTTCGAATCCAAGGGCTAGAGGGTGCCTTGGGTGTCCTCAGCCCCTCATCCAGCATAAGTGGGGACAAGAGCGTGGTGGGGTCAGGTGCGGTGACAGTGAGGCTGTGGGCATAGGCTGGCACAGGGCAGGTCTTCCCTTGCTTCAGGTAGCCCTGTGGCCTTCCATCTATGGTGATCTGGGCAGGAGTGCACACTGTCCCCGCTGCTTCTTGTCCTGCGTCCTGTGTGAAGGGAGGGGGGCAGGAGGGGTCTGAGGAGCTGTCCCGCCCCTGTCGTCTGGTCCTGTCTGAGTGGAGGGGCTGGGCTTCCTGGGCTCTGGTCAGTGCCTTGATCACACCCTCCCCTGCCTTCCAGACACCTGGGAGATCCTCTGTATCTTCAGCTTTTCCAAATGCTTTTTCCAATCATTTAAGGATTCTCTAGTTGGATCTATCTTTAAAATAAAAGAAGGTTCTTCCTGGCCTCCTGCTCCCTCTGGTGACTGTCCCGTTGCCCTGCGTTCTTGCCTTGCCTTCTGAGGTGAACTTGGGAAGCAGTTGTCCATGCTGGCAGTGAGTCTGCCCCCGCAACGCCTCCACTTTCTGGGTGTGGCTTTCCATCGTGCCTGCTTTTGTCATGGTGACCCCCGGTGTTCCCATCCAGCGGATAGGTTGGTCCTCACTCCCCGGTTCCAGTGCCCTTCGACTCAGCTGCCCACTCGCTTCCTCTGTGGTGGCCCCACATTCTTCCGCCCCCCATTGCTGGAGCTTCCCTTGGGCCCCTTTCCAGCTCCTGCTGTGCCACCCTCCTCGCCTTTCCTTTGACTGAAGTACTCTGCAGGGGCCCGGGCCTGGCTGGTTGCGTCAGCTCTCCCCGCTCCAGTCCACCGTGCTTTGCGACTTCCCTCTCTTTCGAGGGAGGATTCCTTGGTGCCATTCTCTGTCCCAGCATCCGGGAAGCACTGTGTGCCCCTGCTGCCCAGGCCGCGTCCTCGGGAGAGTGGCCTGCTGGGTGGACCCCTCTTGAGATGCAGGTCTGTGCGTCTCCTGCCCCTTTACTCACAGCCTGGCCTGGCCTCTCCCAGACAGAGGTCCTCATCAGCACTCCCTTCTGTTCACTACCCCATCCCAACCTCCCTCCCCAGCAGCCAGGGACCGCCACAGCATAGGTCAGGTTGGCTTCCTGGGGACTGCGGTCAGTAAAGCCCACAGGGGAGCCTGAGCTGCCCATTTTCATGGTCATTGAAACACTGTTCTAAAACACCGTTCTGTATACCTTGAGCAATATTTTTACATAACACATTTTGGCAGGAATCCTAGGAAGCATCTCTTCCTTGGAGGCTTCATTTGAGAGAAGGCTCAGCAGACTGCAGCGTTTTTTCCCAGAGAACAGTTTGGGATCCCATATGGAAGAGCCAGCGATGGGGGCCTTGGTGGCTCAGGACACATGTGGTTCTATTTTCAGCCTCCTTTGGCATATGGAAGCTGCCTTAAACACTCAGAAAGCCTCCGTGCTCACGGGCGCCTGCGTTTCTCCTGCCAGCCCCGTGCAGTGGGAGCCAGTGCTGCCCCAACCCCGCTGCTGGTGCTTTCTGCTGCCCGGGCTTCTCTAGGGTGCTTGCCCCAGAAAAGCTCTGAACACCATAAAGCACTGCACAGAGGGACTGACCAGAGGCAGCAGCAGCCGATGGAAGAGCCCAGCTTTGAATGCAAAAGACGCGGGCAGGAATCCCACCCCCACCGCCCCAGGCACGTCTGGGAGTCAGAGCGCCCTTTGGAGCCTCCACCCGCCCCCCTCCCAGCCTCCGCCCTCCCGGCGTGAATGTTGGGAGACACTCTGGGGCTGAGACACTGACCACCTGGCGGGCCTTGCTGTTATTTTTGACCACTTCCAAAACTTATTTCTTCCTTGAGATAAATGATTTTCCTGCTGGCGAATACTGGTGGCCTAGAAACCACTCCTCACGCGGGTTTTTCTCTCTCTGTTAAGTCTCCAGTGTTCAGGCATCGGACTCTGGAAAACTCGCCCATCTCCAGCTGTGACACCAGTGACACTGAGGGCCCCGTGCCGGTGAACAGTGCAGCTGTCCTGAAGAAGAGCCAGGCGGCCCCGGGCAGCTCCCCCTGCCGAGGACACGTGCTGCGGAAGGCCAAGGTGAGTCCTGGCTTCTCGGGGCGCTGGTCCGGGGGTGTCCAGACGATTTAGGCTCCTGGGAGTTCTCAGGTGTGAATGAGGAGCCCGTCCATCTTCCTACTGCCTCCACTTGGCGCTCAGCCTTTGGTAGACATCTTGAATGGGCGCTTCTCCAGTCCTCCCCACCCCACAGACCCTCCTTTAGGAACTGGGTTCTCCAAGGTGAACAGTGACCCGAAGGTGCTGACCGTTTAGCCTCAGTGCCACCGTCAGCCCCAGGTTCATCTCCAATGCAGGCAGGCCCTGGGCTTCTCTGGACTCGTCTTCTTGTTGGTGGGGTGGAGACTGGACCAGGCAACCTCTGAAGTCCTTTTTGGCACTTAGATGTGTGATTCTTTAGAAAAACAAAGAAGAGGGCCCAGGCATCAGCTTTTCCCCAGCGCCGTCAGAGCGTGAATCTGGCCTTGGAGGGCCTCAGAGGAAGCTCGGCGTCCGCCTGTGGCAGCTTCCAGTCTTGTCGTGGGATTAACCACTAGCAAGTTTTGATGCTAAACTTGAAAACCTCAGAAATTTTAAAACACAATTTCTAGTTGATCAGAGCAAACCGGTCCTGGCTGCAGCGAGGGAAAGTGTTGTGTGCATGCACAGGGTGTGATGGCAGGAGCTGGGAAGACACAGGAGTGGGGTTCCCCCTGTCCCGAGGGGCGGGGACGCGGGGTCCTCCCTGTACCGGCTCTGTGGGTTCCTCTGATTGCTGGAATTAACTTTTCTTTTTTGAGGCAGGGCCTCGCTCTGCCCCAGGCCGGTACAGTGGTACCATCACAGCTCAGCACAGCCTTGACTTCCTCGGTTCAGGTGATCCCCCCACCTCAGCTTCCCAAGTAGCTGGGTGTACACCATTATGCCCAGCTAATTTTTTGCATTTTCTGTACAGATGGGGTTTGGCAGCATCGCCCAGGTGGGTATCAAACTCCCGAGCTCAGGCGTCCTCCACCCCCACAGTGCTGGGATTACAGGCGTGGCCACTTGCATTTTCTGTAGAGATGGGGTTTGGTAGTATCGCCTAGGTAGGTATCGAACTCCCAAGCTCAGGCGTCCTCCCCTCCCACGGTGCTGGGATTACAGGCGTGGCCACTGTGCCCAGCGTGGCATTCTTTGCGGCTTTTGGAGCCCATTCCAAGTTGGCTGGGAATAGGTATTTCCTGCGGGGCAGGTGAGTGAGAGATGGGAACGTGAGCGTCGCCCACCTGCTCTGCTCTTTGGGGTGCTCACCGGAGGCCCCCTGGGAAATGTGGTTGTCTATACATGCTGCCACATATGTTCAGCAGACAAGCCTAGGAAGCACAGTAACATTTCCAAGCCCAGGTCACTCTGGTCACAGAGTAAGCGACAGGATGAGAACTGCAGACACTGCTGAACTCAGAACAGGGCAGGACACAGAATCTGCAGGTCAAGGTGTCACTAGAGGCAGGGACATGAAATGCAGAGCAGCCCGGCCCCTGCCCTCGGGCCCCTCTCAGAGCAGAACCATACCCGAGGTCTCTTGGCACACGGCCTGCCCAGATGAAGGGAAGAGAAACTGGCCTGGAGCTGTGCCTGGAGGGTGGTTCTGAGCCGGGGAGCCCTGGGGTATGGGACTGGAAGCCGGCTTGCTTTCCAGAGCCCTCTCTCATGCTCAGCGCTCCTCACCAAGAGTTGGAAGGTATTTCAGGAATACCGCAGCTGGGGTCACGTGTCCCACCTCCAGAAACGTCAGACCCCCTGGGCCTCAGACAAAGGTGGGAGGCAGATGAGACCAGGTTTATGACACCCAAATGCATTCGTGTTCTCAGGGTCTGCAGGCCGCGCCACCATCCCCACTTCCAGCTGGGGTCCCTGTCACTGTTGTCAGAAACCCCGGGAAATGCTGCTCAGTCAGGCCCCTTCTTTCAGTGAGGCCATGCACAAGATTCTCAGCTGGAAGGACGAGAGGCTCTCACTGTTTCCTGGACGTGCGAATGCATTTGGGTGACATAAACTTGGTCTCATCTGCCTCCCACCTTTTTCTGAGGCCCAGGGGGTTCTGACTTTTCTGGATGTGGGACACGCAATCCCAGCTGCAGTGTTCCTGAAATACCTTCCAACTCTTGGTGAGGACCGTTGAGTACGAGAGAGGGCTTCCAGTCCCACACCCCAGGGCTTCCTGGCTCAGAAGGGGCTCAGAACCACCCTTCATCTGGGCAGGCCATGTGCCAAGAGACCTCCAGGCATGGGATCTGTGGTTCCGCTCTGAGAGCGGCCCGAGGGCAGGCTCGGGGCTGCTCCGCATTTCATGTCCCTGCCTCTAGTGACACCTTGGCCTGTAGATTGTTTTCTGCCCTGCCGAGCTTAGTGGTGTCTACAGGTTCTCAGCCTGTCGCTTATTCTGTGACCAGTGTGACCTGGGCTTAGAAATGTTACTATGCTTCCTAGGCTTGTCTGCTGAACATACGTGGTGCCATGTGTAGGCGACATGGGAGTTTTCCTCTCTCAGACGCCCACTGCCTGGTAGTAAGCTGGGGATCTGTACAACAGAGGACTGCCCGTGAGTGCTGGCCTCTTGACTTTGTCCTCTGGCGCCTTCTCTGCTCTCAGCGGCCACGTAGCTGTCCAGGGAGGCTGTGGAAGGGGCGGGAAGGTGTGAGCCGTGCCCCGCTAGCCATCCTCCCCTTTGTAGAACACGTGCGCCAAGAGCCTGCGAGTGTCTCCAGCATGGTTTTGTTATGGTGCTGGTTTGGTGTTTATGTCTGCCAAGTTTGCTAATGGTGTGCATTTAATGATGGGTTGAACTTGAGCTTTGGATTTAGAAAAGGTGAGAAGTTGTTGATGGTATGCAGCATGCAGAGATCTGCTGTGTACTTGTGACCCAGTTAATGAGCCCCTGGAAATCCAGTGGGAGTCAGACACCCGCCTCCCGGCACAGAGTCAGCGGGCACAGGGAAGAAAGCCCCTGTTTGGCTGCCAGGCGCTGTGCTCGGGCTTTCCCAGACCCTTTCTCCTTTGATCTTCCCAGTCGCGCTTTGGAGTCTTTGGTGGGACTCACATCGTGCTAAGGCTCAGAGAGGTGACGCGACTCCTCCAAGGCCCCACAGTGGCTGAGGCACAGAAAGTCTGGCCCTGGCATCTGTGCCCTCTGCTCTTCTCCTCCCGAGCCCCCCATGCCAGGGAACTGAAGGCCTCCGTCCTGCATGATATCTGCCGCTGTGCTGGCCTGGGTCTGCTCTCTTGCCTCCTCTTTCGGGAACTCAATCCCATGGCCAACCCTCATTTCAAATCCACGTAGCTCTAGAGGCCATGAGTAGCCCAGGCCTCTGCCTCTGTGCTGCTGCAGTGGGTGCGGAGGACCCAGATGTGAGCGACTTGAGAGGAGGAGGTGAGGGAGTGTGAGCGCACGCATCAGGTCCAGCTGCTGTGAGGACCCAGAGGTGAGCAGCTGCAGAGGAGGAGGTGGGGAGTGTGAGCACACGGAGGAGGTGGGGAGTGTGAGCACACACGTCAGGTCCAGCTGCTGTGAGGACCCAGAGGTGA